ACAGCACCAACAACTTTGTTAGTGCTGTCACAGAACTCCTGTTACGAGCATAACCCGAGAATTTCTCGGCGGAGATATCGTGCAGCACCTGGAAGCCCCGCGATGGAGATATTCCGTGGGAATCTTTGCTTCCCTCTTACTCCATTGATTGCAGAATCATGGTCGCATATTCGACAGTGGACGTGAGTCCATCTGCAATGCGAGATTGATCCTTCTTGTCCATATCTTAGAATAGCTCAGTTGCTCCGGCCGGAGAGATTGGTTGTGCTGACCATATCATTGAGTTGGTGGTTCTTTTCGTAACATTCTCTTGAAGCTTTCCTGTACTCTTCCCCGTGTGAATTCTATGCTCGATTTTCCTAGTGGAAGGAGCATCGGTTTGGCTAGCTTGGGCTACCTCTCATTCTTGGGATTGGACCACTTCTTGGCGCTGAGCCATGATATGATGTTGATATGGTAGGCATATACTCATCTATTCGGCTGCTGGCATTGATCTACGGAGCCTGATCGTCTTCTGTGTCGCATGTAGTCACACTACTGTAGGCGCAGTCTTCCCAGCCTCCTGAAGGCTACCAAACTGGACCGAATCGGTGAAGATATAATCTCAACATGGGACGAATCAGTGAGGAGGTGACCACGAAGTGTTTGCCGTTAATGCAAACTCACGGCTTCCATGCTGATCCGTATTGCTAAACACTGCGTGGCTTTGAAGGAATACCAACAGAATGATGCAAGACTGCGTCGTGTACCACGTTTGGACCTGGTATCACTGTCTCATGTAGAGAATTGGCGTCCTCATGGATAGGATCTCTGACGAATTAGTGAAGATTGTCGAAGATTCTATCTCGAGGGCCCTTTCATGCTCGCGAATGCTCGTAAGTTCAGCGAATTCTTGTCAAGATACGGGAATAACGTTTTTATGATATTCGAAGGCAGGCGTATGACCTTCGCAGACGTCGATGAACTGTCTAATCTCATGTGCTGGTGAGATAGCTAAGCCACCTTTGGGTAGGGATGGAGACGTTCTGCTAAGGTACCTGTCGGAGCATGTCGGCCTTCAGCCAGGTTTGTCTTGTCTAGCCTTGGTCATGGCTAACAAGCCTGATTTCGTATGTTGGTGGCTAGCAGCTGCTAAAGCTGGTGTTAAAGTGAGTGTACAGATCCTCTCATTACGACGGATGTAAACTTCCTCAGGCGGCATTTGTTAATTCTAGTATCAAGTCTAATGCATTGGCCTGTGCCATCGACAGTGCCGCAGCCGATTTGGTCATTTTTGATGCCGAATCATCTACCGAGGTGAAACCCAGCACATGTTCCCTGCTTCCCATTCCTCCACCCCCTCTAGATGGCATCCGCAGGAGATTTAATTCGGGCTAAGAATGCCGGAGTGTAGGGAGCCTATATCTCTCGTCCCCAAGCTCTTCGTAGGCGCTTACTACACTGGGACTCCCTAGAGACTCCGGTGGCAGGGGCGACATGCTTAACTATTGAGGCCTTGAATCAAGAGTGAGCCGTCTACGGATGCATTCCAATACCACTAGTGCAGCATACAGGTTCCCCGGCGCAGCTACTACGCGCCCAGCCAGGACCGAAGAATATCGCAGAAGTGTTGTTACCATGATGAGTGTGTTTGGCTATATCTATACCTCCGGCACTACGGTGGGTTATGATCATTACGAGATATGTTCCTTTGTTGTAAGTATACCATTTGTAGGGTATGCCTAAAGCAGCAGCCATCACTCATTGGAGGATGTGGGCCTTTGGCTCCTTCATGGCAGCAAGCACCTCTCTAACAGAGACTGATGTCATGTAACTACCGACCATCTGTAAAAGTTGTCCTATTCACGAGTCCACTTCAGTTACATGTGCTTGCCTCTCTTCCACTCCTCTGGTGGTGCGCTCGCGATTGGTGCAGCTATTCATACCGGATGCACAATTGCGCTCGCCCGACACTTTTCTGTGAGAAGGTTCTGGCAAGATATCAACCGATACAAGTGAGTGTTCGCTGAAAGGGACTCCCTTTAAGGGAGATGGTTACGTTGATTTTATGTTGGAGTTCTCGACCAAAAAGACCCGTTGAAAATGACAAGCAACTCCCCTTTCGAGCTCCCATTCCATCTGCTAATCTTCCTCTCGATCGAGAGAGTCATCAGCCT